GATGAATTACATTTCTTGCTCCCTAATATCTAAGAGGAAATTCAGAGGCGCAGCTCTCCTTTGAGCTAAGACAGAGGCTCATTACATTCACAGCGCATTGCTTAATATCCCAGTCTCCTTCACGACTGAAGGCAGAATGGCAAGCCATGATAGACCAGCCAGACAAACAGACAGACAGGCAGACAGACAAACAGAGAAAAGGGTGATCAGTTACCTGAAGTGTCCCACAGACTGAGCTCCACTCGCTGCTCCTCCAGCTCCAGACAGGCTGTGTAGTTTTCAAATACCGTGGGCACGTAGGTCTGGGGAGCAATTAGCAACATGGTGCCATTAGTGGGGAGGTGTTAGTCACTCAGCTACAGGTAAAGGAATTTATCCAGATAATTAGTGCAACACGAAAACACGCACTCAGGGACGAAGAGGGGGGGTTCATAAAATAATAAGCCTAGTAAAAATGTTTCTTTTTGAAGGAATTTCGGATCAATCAATCACATGAATCACTGCAGCTGCAAGAAATATTCAACACAGGCCAAAATGTAACAATTCTAAATGCGTAGGGAAAACATTTTCATTTATCATGCCTTAAAAAATCTGATGCATTTAAAAGTATTACGGTAAATGCATTACAAAATAAGCCGAGAGGACGAGGTTTTATAAAAAATGCGCATGAAAACTGTGACTGCAACAGACGCACCGATTTTTTTTCCTGCCACATTCAAACATTTTTCAGAAAAAAACCCCACTCTAATCATCAACTAAACACAGAACAGTTTTATGTGCACACATTTGTAGTTCTTTTTCCATAAGAGCATACCTCCGGATAACAATCCTTCGCCAGGACTTGCAACATCGCCGTTTTTCCGCATTGAACGTCTCCCACTAAAACCAGTTTACATCTCACCACCAGCGGCTGTGTATTTCTCCTTTCCTTCATGGTGTTAATGGTGGTTCAGTGTTTTCAGTGGTGTCTTCGTTGTTGTTGTTGTTGCAGAAAAAAAGGCAAAAAACACGCAGCAGAACAGACCAGAAATCGTCCCAGTGTGATCGAGCGTCCCGGTGTCTGGCTCTCGGAGGATGCTCGCAGTTGATCTGATTGAATCTGCCACTGCGGCTCTTTATACAGGCGAGCAGCAGCCAATAGGAGCTCACCATTCCACAGGCTTTCTAACATCCTCTTGCTGCACTCGGTGATGTTCTCAGAGAGCAAAAAACTTGTTATTTTGTCAAGGATTGAACAGCTGCGTTATAAGCAGGGATTTCTTTGGAGATTTTGTTCAGAATACTGTGCGGGATTACATTATAAGGAGTTTAATAGTTTGATACTCATTCATGTTTCCCTGCAAACTAAGCAAATGCATTGTGAACAAGTAATTTCAGCTTCTTCTCCATCTTTCACTGTAAAACAGTTTCTCATGAAACACAGCAGTCTGTTATTGCAGTCTTCTGTTTTGTCACCTGTGTGTTCTGTCACTTGGCCTGCTGCAAATTGATTGATTGCATTGACTCGACTGGCTGGATCAATAGCATACCACTGGCTGAGGACAATGGGACTGATAGACCAATCCACAGTGGACTAATTAGTTAACTTGAATCTGCTCAGTGGAGTCAAGTCAGTTTTATCTAAATATTTTTCTCTTTTGTTTAAAACTGTAAACTCCATCTTCCACAACTGGCCATTCATTCATTCATTCAGTGTGCATTTTATGTGGAACGTAACATTCCACATAAGATGCACACTACATGTACAGGGCCCAGATTTTTGTGCTGATTGGTAGTGAATAAAAGTATAAATAAATAAATATAAATATAGATATAATATAATATTGGCTCTGGAATGAAGCAAATTAGCACATAAGCTCTTTTTTCTGTGATTGTATATTTAACAGTGATGTTTGACTTGTATATGTGGTCAGTTTCTTCTAAAATCCAACATTTCTTACAGGTTACAGGCTCCCAGAACGGACAGATAAGATGTTTCAGGGAATGTTTGCTGATCAAAGAGCACTTTGTTGACATGCAGTGGGGGTGTTGTGAGGCCCCCTGATAGGTGACCAACTATCGGCTGGCCACAGGGTTAAGTCAGAGGTCTTTCCTCTCACTTGTGCTGGTCAAACCCCTGGAGACACACAAGCACTGACTTTCACACCCTGAAGGTTATTACTGTATGGAAACAGCACCTCATTGTTAGGAAAAGGAGAATTAAAAGATAAAAGTCAATTAGCTGCCTTCCCCTGTGTCTGGCAGCATACTGGCTAATTTACTTACTGTTGCCAATCAAAGCTCTTGCAGTTTATGCCCCAGTGGGTCAAAGCAATTTGCCTTTGTTCACAAACAGCCCATATTATTCATCCCCCATGCTGGAATCTGTCTGTGTTTTACAGCCCAATATGTCTTGTTGTCATCATATACAGCTCTGATTGTGGGGGTTGTGTCTGCATGCTGGGGAGAAAATGGATTTTATCGCTGCTGCATTTCATTTACATCAACAATGACATTTGACCAAGTGCACTTGTATGGTGTGTATTGGTATGTAACGTGGCAACCTAGTAAACATTGTAATAGTTAGCATGCTGATAAATGAAGCCGCATCACCTTCAATTTCAGTTCATTTTATGTAAAGTTTTAATATGCAATTTCTATATAGCAACAAACTGGGCTTGTTGGAAACTAATTCACTTTTGCAGCTATTGTTAATGCATTCATTTTTATATTATTGGTATTATAAACGCTTCATTGGTTATTCCTCGTACAAGCGTGAGAGAAGATTCACATTACATGTACAGGGCCCAGATTTTTGTGCTGATTGTTAGAGAATAAAACTATAAGCCATATAATGATGATGCATACAAGAAAACAGAAACAGTTCAGAAGAAAAGTTGCAGATTATGAATTCTCTCTAACCCTTCTAAACGAACTGCATCGCGTACATGAATGCCTGTGTAACCACCACAGAGCTCCTCTGATGGGACAGAGAGAGACAGGTGGCTGTGAATAATCATCAGGCATAGAATAACACCTTCCAATATGGCTGATACTAGACGATGAGAAGGACGAGGCTGAGGAGGAAACGGTGGGGGAGGCTGACTACTGGCAGGATAAAGCATTGACACCTCAAACCATCACACCTCGATATATTTGGTGACAGTGTTGGTAATTATCATCAACACAATGACAGCAGTCTGCACACGGCCTCAGGAAAACAGACAAAAGCTGAGTCACTATCTTTCTCACAAGATTCTCAGACGGTTAGAAACGTGAACTGGGATACTTCCTTATTTTCCTGCCACAAACTCATCAGCAGATGGTGTTGTAACCCAGGATTTCTAGCATGACTTTCACACCTGATAATCTAGACATACATGTGAAGCAGCAATTTACACTTCTTATGAGCTTATGCCTGGGAGGACGTGTTAGATTTTCCAAAGTGATATCAGACTACCAATTGATGCAATTTGGCATTACAAGCATGGGAGAGATGGCAAATGATGATCATATGACTTCTCTTTGTGCAATTTGAGTGAAGAGATGTGTTGTCCAAGATACTGATGTGCAGAGCCAATACAAAATGCCAGCTTAGCTTTGCTGTGACCAAAAGTATGTGGACACTCCAAAAACTACACCCACATTACTGTTAAATATCACATTACAAACCCATGGGCTTTGATATGCTATAAGATTTTATAACCTGTTGCAGGGATTTGCTCCCATTCAACCACAAGAGAGTGAGTGCCCTGTCTGGCACAGAGTGGACATTATAGTTCATCCAAAAGGTGCTGGATGGGGAAAAGGTCAGGACTCTGTGCAGCTTTGTTACAATTTAAAAACATTGAGGCAACATTTTCCATCCACTCTTTGTGAGTTTAATGAACTTAATAATATACAGTAGATGTAAGACTAAAAATTAAGTAGACCCAAGTCGAAAATTAGATAAAAAGAGTTCAACCAACTTTATTAAAGTGAACATAAATAAGACTTCTACATCAAATGTAAAAGTCAATTTCAATCATTTTTCTACATTGAATAATTAGATAGCATTTACACAGTTTGCATTTTAACAAATAAAATACAAGTGAAAAACCAATATAACACAGCAGATTTCACACAGTTTGAACTTTGAAAACCATATCACAGAAGCAGGAGACCATCGTTCCCTCCACAAAAATTAAACTTTGACCCTGTTATGTGGGTTATTTCATTTAAATTAAATTAAATTTCAGTTAACACACTAAACTAAGCTTTACAGACACCACACAGCACTGACACACTTCAGACTGTGGCATTGGGCTGTATGTCCGTCCAAGGAGAATACAGCATGTACCAGTCAAATAATCAAGACCAGTCAACACTGAGGATCCCTCGATGATGCGGCTCATTCGCTTTTAAAGGTCACCTGGCTTTTTGCAACTGTCATGTTGAAACAGGACATGACTCTTTAAACTGCAGCCACAAGATGGAAACACTACTGTCTTAAATGTTTTGAGATTTAGCAGTTGACACTAAAACCAAACTATACAGCACCAGACCAAAAGTACACACAAGATAGTGTATAAACCAAGTTTCCAGCACACACTTAAAGGGTTAAACATCTGGTACAAATACAGCTTGAAACAAAAATAATTACCAAATATTCAACAATATGTATTTCTAGAAATGGTGTCCCTGGTACTCCGAAAACTCCACAATCCTGAATCATTGTGCAGGTTTTTTTTGTTAGAAAGTAGTTCCAGTGAAAACTGTTCTCTGATGTGGCAGAAATCTGAGAGAAAGAACCAGATAAAACCTAAACTAACTGCATTCTACCAGAGGTAAGTGAGAAAATATATTTTCTCTTTTGTAAGTAGGGTGAACTGGCCCTTTAAATAGCTGTTATAAAGAGATACATAACCATCACTGTATAATATTTCTCCTTACAACCTGAAGATACAGATATGCCATTTCCGCCCTCTGTTGGTGATATTAGGAATCACAGCAGAGAAATAAAAACACCACACAAAGAAATGTTACTTAAATGTTGTTGTGTTTTATTCACCCCCTCTTTCAAATGTGCTATAGACAAAAGATGCACCCTGTACACATCCTCATCAGACACTGTTGGATATCATTTATCTTATCGACTTGTCAGAAACCACGTGAAATGTTGACATCATCATTAGACCAGACAACTTATTCAGTATTGGAGGTGGGTACAGCAGAACGTTTAGTGCATTTATTGCATCGTAAAGCAGACATATAAATGATAGTAGTGCAATTATACCCCATCATAACTGAGGAGATATCTTGATAGTCTCAGCTAGTGTCTCGTCAATGCTAGACTTTGTATTGCATACAGAATTTAGGCAAGTGAAACGCAATAGGAAATGATAATAGTAAAAAATTGTGCTTTGTAGGTCCAAAGAATAATTAACTTTTTGTAGAAATTTCCTGCAATAAAATTAAGCAAATAGAAGGAGCTGATAAATATATGTATATTTTGTTTTGTTTTTTTATCGAAAGAAGCTACTGTGCTCTCTGTGTTTCATCAAGTAGAAGTCATGTATCTCAAACCTGGTCCTTCAGAAATTAATGTGGGAGTCAGTGACAGCAAACTTTAGTGATAGACGGTGGTCCTAAATAACTGCAGTGCATCATTCTAAAAAGAGAGGAAAATACATATAAACACATGCTTTCTGAGGCGTTTAATATAGAATTGTGTACTGTGTACTCTACTTTCTGTCAGCATTTGTTGGTTCTGTGCAATTTGATAATAGTAATAATAGTAATAATTATAGTATCTGCATATCGAATATACAGTATGTACAATTAAGCCTTGATGTATACGGGTGACTGGTTATGTAGGTCATGTTGATTTATTCTGAAGAGTGAATGGCTCATGTGAGGATGGTCCCAAAAAGCCCTTCTGATGAAACAGCAATACAATATGTCATGCACATACATTAGGTTATTTACATGTGTGATATGTAAGCTGAATTCTATAGTTGTATATGGTAAAAGCAGATGCATTGATGTAAGAATTGCAGTGCTTACTGAGATGCATTCATTTTTGTGAATACTGTAAGACATGTAATGGAGGCAATAGATGATTAATTCAACAAAAGAGACTACTGGTGGCTATGCAAAGTTTGGATGAAGCTTTTGGTATTTGCATCAAAGACATTTAACTAGTCTTATGACTGGAAGTTCTATATATATATATGTAATGTATATCTTCCAGTTTGTTTGCAATGGGCAGAGAAATAAGCTGTGGTGGGTATGAGAGTGACATAAATATGCCACCAGAGGTCACCCTCCATGTACTTATAAGCATGCAGTACACGTGCTTATTTAGCTGTTTATGCTAAAAGATAATGAAGAAAAATGAGTGGGTTTACTAGGAAGTAACCCTTTGCAATCTGTTGATTTGGGAGATCAGGGCTGATCAGTGTTGTAGCACAGTGATGTAGTGGAGGGTGGGTGCAAACATATGCAGCATTGCTACTTCTTATTCACTGAGCAACCTCAATTCTGAGACTCCACTGATGTCTAAACTCAACCAATCATCAAAAGATATAGGCCACCCACTACTTCAGTTACCATTATGCCACTGAGGAGCAGTGAAGTGTGACATTTAAATGATACCACCAATATGGTAAAATAAAATGCAGATATGATCCTGTTTGTGTAGTTTGTGGAGAGTTTAGTGCTAATATCACCAGGAATTACATTCAGCACACATGCTCAGTAAACAGTTAATTGTGTATATAATCTATACAACTATTCTCTTTGGAAATCATACAGAACATGTAATCAACAAGGTGTTTTTTATGTATAGATCAACTCATCTTGTGTTTGTCTCTCACCAATTTACCCTTTTGTTTTTTTCTTTTGCACAAAGAAACAGCCAATATAAATGATCATTTATTCATCATAATGTACAACATCTGGTTATAAGAGTAAAAGGACAGAGTCATTGTTCCAGTCCAAGCTTCAGTTATCAGCCTGAGACGGGAACAATGCATCTGTAACCTACACTTGTTAAATGTCTGATATCTGGTTATGCTACATGTTTCTGGGTGGATCAAATTGTGTCAGAAAGAAGAATTAAAATTTCTTTGGGATAAAAAAATGCATACTACTGTGACATCAGACATCCAGTATCATTAGTTGAAATTATTAAATGTCATTATTTAGATTCACATTTGAAGAAAATTTCAAATGTGAGTTAGTGATTTGTATTGCATTTGTCTGTCATTTGTTGGAAGAGCCTTTTTCTCTCAGAGAACTATAAGTGAGATCAACAACCACAGTTTTTGGTTAATATTCAATTGCATTTTCATTTTAGTTTTGGGATTGGCCACCGACCATCTGCAAACAAACCACAGTTGTTGTAAATAATCCTTCCTAAGCTAACCGACCAGCATTTATACATTCACAGCTGTGACAAAAGATGCATATAGACTGTGCAAGCCTGTGCTTGTCATGCTTGTTTTGCATCACTGTTGCGTACAGGTATGTGATCAGCTATACTGAGGGCCAATATATGAATTATACATAATAGTATAGATAGTTTGTGTAAAAAAATAAATGGGAAAGGATAATTTAAAAAAGGCTACTAGATAAACAAGGAGAGAAAGCAAGTGATAAAGGAACAACTGTGCCTTTGAGGAAACATTTGGCTAAACTGGAATGACAGCTCATCGAGAGCTGTGGAGATGGAAGACATACAGAACTTGTTTACTGTCACTCTCTGCACTCTTTGGCCAGAGGGGGAAGCCAGGTTTATCAGAAGAAAACCCTGGGAACCCTACAATGGGAAGCTATTCATGTTCATATTTTGTGTTATACTGATTGCGTTGCTATGCTACAGTACTGTATGCTAACATACTCTGACCTCACAGGTGTGCAGTTTGTCTATAATGAGAGCTGAATTAGCCTATCTGTGTCTGGGACAGCCACTTCTGGGTATCTGATCACACATGGGCTAGTTCAGCTTCACCAGGTGGGGGATGTGACCTCCAGTGTGAAAGCAGGGAGTCGGGAACAAGGTCAGGGTGGGAGGGAGGGAGGGTGGTGTGCAGTGACTGCACTGCTTTACTGGTTTTTGTTACCAGTAGGTGTGCAGCTGTAGAAAGCGGCCCTGAGTTGTCGCGTGGCGGTGGGAGCAGGGAGCTCTTGCCGAGGGGGCAGCAGTGAGGTGGACGCTCCTCTGGTCAGATCTTCCTCTTCTTCCTGCTCCTCTCCCTGTTTTTGCTTCTCCTCTTCCTCCAGCTCACCAGCCTCCTGCTCTTTCTCTCATAGGGCTTCTGCTCTTTGTTCTCTTCTTCGCCCCAGGTGTGGCCAGAGAAGGTGGTGGCTGGCTTTGGAGAGATGAGGGCTGCTGCTGCCCCCTGGTGGCGCCCTGGTCCCTGTGCTCTATGACCTCCAGTCTGACCCCAGCTGACAGCACAGGCTGCACCTGCAGGAAAGCAGGGGGCACATTTAAGAGAGAAAAAAGCACCAGTACAAGAAATCAATAGCAAAATAAGCAAACACTAAATATGATGAAGTAAGAAAGAGAGATTTCTTCTCACCTATGTCTGCGGTAGTAATCATTCTATCAACTCTTGAGTCTCAGAAAACTAGTGAATGGACACAGGAGGTGGAAAGGTTGTAATTAATAATGCAACCAAACTGTTAATAACTCAAACATCTGTTGTGTGTTTATCTTACTTGTTGGCTGGAGTTAGCTGAGGGTGGGGTGATCACGCTTTGGTCCAATAAGGGGTTAACAGGGGCAGAACAGGGGAGATGCGTAGCACGCCAGTAAATTTCCAGGTACTCCGCAAGGTGTTCACACGCGTCTTCCAGCTGATTTTCATCCAGGATGACATCAAACATCTCCTAATGAGCCAAAGGTAGGAAAATGAGAGATGAGAAAGAAAAGCTACACACCAAAGATCACTGCATGATTTTCAACTCAAACCCTTCCCTGAGCATTATACTTCTGAGTTTCAGGCAGACATACAGGTGGACACTGAGCTAGCTTGTCTCCTGCCATCATCTGGACGTTGAGGTGTTTGCTTTGCGACTTCCCTCGAGATTTGATCAGCCTCTGAAGAACCTGTGAGATGACAAGGGGAGACAAAGAGAGTAAACAGTTAAAAAACAAAAACCCACAAATGAAGGTTGTCAAATGCCTAGTTCCCATTTAATCATTTTCCTCATTGTTTTCGTCTTTTATCTAGTCACATAAAGCAAGCGCTTTGTACCATATCATTTGAAATCTGATTTTATTCTTTCAACCTCCTTTTATGTAGAGAAGCCCATTTTAGTATGTGAGTGCAAAACTAAATTATTATGAGTTTTCATTTGTTCAAGCAACATATTCTGTGAATCATTGTAATTAGGACTGCAACTAACTAATTACTTTTCTTGTCAATTCATCATTAAATCTATAAATTGTCAAAAAAATAGAAAAATTAGCAGTCCTGAGACTCCAAGATGACATCTTCAAATGTCTTGTCTTGTCTGACCAAGAGTCCAAAACTCAAAGATATTAGTTTACAGTGATATTCAACAGAGAAAAGCAACAAATCCTCAAATTCTTACTTGATCCATTCACAAAATAGTTGGTGAATAATTCTCTGTCAAACAAGTCATAAATTATTCCACTATCACTTTCACTCTAATTTTAATAACAATCAATAAATAAAGAGGCTAAAACGCCAGTCTTGAATGAATTGTGAGGTTTATGTGGGTTGTGCTCTACTTTAGGCGAGGACACTTTGACGTAGACGATGATGGGAGCCAGAGAAGTTTTGAGGAGCTGTGCTGGGTGGTTGATGGTGTCTGCATCCAGGACAACCAGCTGAAGAGACTTGGCCAGCTCAAAGATCCTCTCTATCTCACTCTGGACCTCAGCTGTCAACAAACCAAAGAAAGACAGGGAGCTGACACATTTAACAGAGCAACATCACTTAGTACAGACATGACATTAAAGGAACAAGAGGCATCTATTCTTAGCAGGTATTAATCTTTATTTAGCAAAAAAAATAAACAAACATCAAAGACAGCTTTCTCAGCCACTCACCCAGACTGGAGCGTGTGTTGGATCTCTCCATTATGGCCTTCTTGTTCAGCACCGAGCGCTTCGCCAGTGACAGATCAGCAGTCACCCGTGTAATAGAGATCCTACAGAAGAAGCGTCTTATCACATCACATCCACAACTGTTCCATTTCATAGGATGAGATGAACTTGTACTCTCTTGCAGCTAAAAATAAATCATCATCATCATGTGTCCTATCGACCATGAAACGTGATAGGCAGAATCCCACAAACAGCTCTGGAGCTCGGTCACAGTGCTACTGTACAGTGAGCTGCAGCTGTAGAGAGCAACACAGGCAGCCGTATACCCACCTGCCGTCAAATCTGTGCTTTAGGAAGTCAAACAAGGCTTTCTGCATCATGTCTGTTACCTAGGCGACAGATAGGAGGAAGGAAGAGTGGAGAGAAGTTAGGAGAGACTAGTATCAAGAAATATACACCTTTGCACACACACACACACACACCTACAGTACTTATATTTTTTACTCACTTTTTATTAAGGTAACACTTCAGTTTAACACCCCTGTTTAGCATTTATAAACACTGGAAAAGATTCATGAATTGTTTTTTGGTTAGGACACTTTTAAGGGTTTTTTAATGTATTTATCAACAATTATATCTTGTCCAATGCAGAAATATTTTATATTTCTACACCTGTGTTTTACTATATTGTCATTCATCTGTTCATCAACCAGCCTCCATTTATGGGTGCCCATGGGAGGAGTTATAGTCTTTGACAAATACATTAATAATTAATGCTTATGAATACTGAATAGGGGGACTTAAAGTACAGTGTTGACTGTTGAGTGTTAGACAGAACGAACCATTGTGAGTTATTATCTCTTTGACTGAACTGGCCAAAATGGCAGCATATAATAATCAACACACAGTCAAAAGAGAACATACACAGTCAATTTGGCACATTCACATTTAACACAATATAGTAGAACCGAAAATACATAGTAATACACAAGTATAATAACCCTTCATTTTCAACAGGACATTCCTCAAGAAAGAAGATAGTGTTATAACCAGAAAAGGCAGTCAGCACAGATAGAAATGAGCACCATTAAAGTCCCTCCCACTCAAAATTTTTAATTATTGTTACCTCACTTGGATATTTGAGCTTGACTGTGCAGAATGACGTAATGTTTTTGTCACAACTAGTCTGGAGCCAGTCATGGTCTAATATATAAATGCATACAATTGTGATGTGGAAACTTGATTGTTTCTTGTGTCCGGTAGTTACAGTAAACTATTGAAATGAACCATATTTGCAAATTCATGGATTCTGGATTTTGAAGGAGAAGGAGTAGGTGTAGATTAATCAGGTAATATGAACTTTTCGGTGTAAAAACCATAATAAATTCAATTATCATCCCAAGCAGAGTTTATGTCTTCAAACATGTGTTGTGGGGATCTTTAAGGATGACATGTGTTTGCTTTGCGTATGTTTCCATGTGCACTGTGGGTGAAGTGAAGCAGTCTATTTTCAAACAGTCCTGAAAAATGGATGGCCTTTGGGACAGGGGATGGAGCGCACAGTGGTGTTGCTCCTCCACAGTGTAACAGAGAGATAGAGAAACAGTGGGAGGGAAAGAGGGAAGGCAACGTCACAGAACGATGGTGAGCAACCGAATATAATATGTAGAAGTGAGACAAAGCAGGGAGAAAGAGAATGAGAGGGGAAGAGAGAAGGAGACAGGCTGGCGTTCACCACTGGAGCATCCCCAAAGCACATCACCAGAGCGATGCATGAATATTTCACACACACACAAAACAAACGGCTTGGCACACAGCCTGCGCATCACAGAAGAGAGAGCGAGGCAGAAAGAAAATGTTGAAGCACAGAGACATTCTGTTCAATTACACGCCTCACAATTCAGCAGCTTCATTCAGAATCGACATATTCTACGATTAATCGACTTTAACTGCAATGTGTTTTCATACATGTCATTCCATATGTGTGTTAAAGACAGTTTTGTATGAGGGAATATCACATACAGTAGCTAAAATAAAAGGGACACACATGCAGTTCTGTATTACTCAAAATGGATCTAAGATTCCTGTTGTGTGGCTATAATTTCATCAGGATGTGACTGTGGTGTTTAGTATCAGTGTTAATGGGATAATGGAGGCGAGAGTGATTCCCTTTAAATCAAACCAGGCAAATCCATGCAGGACCAGAAAATACAGTCCAGATTAAACTGTAGCAAACAATGGCAGTCCAGAAAAGAAAAGACCATAGACTGAGGTTTTTGATGAATCAAATCTTTGTGTAAAATAATACTCATATAAATACTAATTAATACTGCATAAAGAGACTTTTTTGTCTAGGTATAATGTTCACCATATTAGATTAGGGTTTTATCATGCAAACATTTTATATTTTAGCTCTAAACAAAAAGAACAGTTGAGGCTGATGGGGATGTCTTTAGTTTTTAAGGTATTACAAAATGAAATTTTGACCTGATGATGGTGCTAGATGAAAAGTCTTTTTTTAGGATCACCAAAATTATTACATATCATGAGGACCAGTTTTTATAACAATAGTGGTCAAGACATTCCACTCAAAAGCATAAATGTCAACTTCATAGTGGCACTAAAGGAAAAGTTAGGATCACTAAATCCAGCAGGATACATCTGTACAAAATGTGCCAATCCATCATGTAGATTCAGTGACATTAGAGAAAATGTCAGGGGGTCACCAAAGTTTTATCTTCTTGGCACCATGAATGTGTGTATAAAATTTCATGGCAATCCATTCAATAGATATTCAGTCTGGACCAATGTTGCAGACAGATTGGCACTGCCATCCCTACAGTCATGCTAAAATGCTAGCATGCAGGCAAATACCACCTTGGATGCCCCTATAAAACATGATAAAGTTCCCTCTAGGGTGTCCTTGTGGACAAAATATGGTAAAGTAGGGTACTCATCCTAACCCTGACTAAGCTATTTCACAATAAATGCATAAGAACTTTCTGCGCTCTCGTACCCTTTTTATTTTTTCCTCCTCTGCCCCTCAAACAGCCACCAGTCCACCACTGCTAAAAATAGAAAATGTTTAGTGGTATGAGGTGGTTCACCTGTAAGAAAATACTCATATCTCAGAAGGTATAAGTACCAGATATTTGGTAATCATACTTTAAGTGTATTATTTTTTACGTGTAGGATTTAAAAACATCTAACTTATAACTTATATTATGACTGTATCAGATGTTTACAACAAACAAAATGTTCTTTTCATTGACTAATTCAGTGGTTCCAAACCTCTTGATTTTAAGGGGTGTAAGGAAACTTTAAAAAATATACACAGTTGGCCTACATCTCAGCATTTCATTCATTTCTGCAAAGAAAACTAAATGAAATTGTTATTTTAAATTATTATTATTATTATTATTATTATTATTATTATTGTTATAACACCTAAACTTTGAAGACCTGAACACAAAATATATTCACAGAGCCTTCTCTCTCTGATAATCAGCCCAACAACCAAAGAGCTAATAGAACATTCAGGTCTATGAAGTATGTATGATTGTTTAAAATTCAAAAAATACATATAACAGACAGAATTGTATAAATATTGTTCACAGGAAATTAATCCAAATCACTCGTTTTACATAAACTCCATAAAATATGTCACTCTGGGGTCGCCAGTAAAGGTTGGGAACCACTGGACTAATTGATCAACTGGTTAAATAATTTCAGCACATGCTCCATATCTGACCACATCCAGGTAATTACTCCAAACACAAGGCACGACTTGAATAAGCAGAACCAAACTATACTAACTGAAAAGCAGTATAAATGGTTGTCTCACCTCGTAGCCTTTCAGTGAGGGGCCCACCAGCACCACTGGCCGCATAGAAGGGACCACATCATACGGAGGAACATGTTCGGTCTGCACAGGCCAAAGGCACAGAATGGGTTTGGAGGTGGAAAAATACACAACAAGTTGAAGTGAATTTACTGTAATGACACACTTTGCTAACACACTCAAAAGAATGATAACTAGCAGAGTTATAAAAATGCAATGAAATGCATTAAGTGTGGCAGTATAATTGAGGCTTTAAAGTGATACACGGGAAAAGGCACAATGGCAAACATACCTGTTTCTGCTTCTGTTTGGCTTTCAGAATAAACAGAATGAACATTAAGCAAGAAGGATAAAAGCTAATATAAAGTAATTACTTCAGTAGAAAATGTTTAAGTTTTAAGACTTGGCAGGAGTGTATTAACAAAGAAAACCTGCATGACATGCTGGACTGTAGAAAAGTACATTGACATTGTGGCCATACAGCGGTCATCTAACACACATCATTTAGGTTCCTCTGTGCTCAAAATCATGTTTGTCCTCTTGTTTCTACAGTTCACTGTGCAGAATGACGTATGTGTAGAGGTTGACGCGAGAAGGATGTTTTCACATTCATCTGCTGAAAGTGGAAAGTTTCTCTGTGTTCCCTGAAAATCAGGTTTTAAAGTGCAGGGCTCACAAGCATGAGTTGTAACATCACAAATAATTTGGAAGTCAGTCTTGGTCCAATTTGAGACTCGTGTGTGACATTGCTTCAAGTGCAATATAGAAGCTTGAAGTCACCAGTGCACATACATTGAATTTACAGTGAAGCAGGAGACATCTTGTGTCCAACAGGAAAACTAGAATTGAACAGAATTTTCATATCTGGAATGTTCAATGAGGTAAAATTAAGTATTTTAATATAATTTCTTTTTGGAAAAACCCCCCCCACATCAGATACACATTATTGTTCCAAACAGACTATTTGTATATAATACTGGAGGGGATCTTTAAACTTAGTTTGATATAAAAAGCAAACAATGTTCTTCCCTCTTAAGGGAACATTTTACCCCAGCAATAGCCCTGTATGCAAATCTGACCCTGTGAGAGCATGTAGCCCCAGTAGAGGCAGAGCAGACAGACACAGTAAGACTGCTACAGACCCACTTACCTGCAGAAGCGTTCCCTCCTTTCCTGTGGAGAAACATAATGCAAAGCTTCATTATGCGTGCATTCCCTCAGGAGGCAATTTAGAAAGGACCTCCAAAACAGAGCAACACGTAAGCAAGAACTAGTTCTAAAAAAACGGAACGTTTTCAAAGACTGTGCTAGACAGGAAGCTGGTGGAATTAGAGCAACAGAGAGATACAGACAGAGATACAGAGACAAACAGAGGAGTGATAACAGAGACACAAACGTCTCTCAGAGCTGTGTGACCTCTGACCTTGCTGCTGCTTTCTGCTCTTGTTTTATCCTCATGGCCTCCAGTTTAACTGGACTCGGGATGAAAGTGATGTCTGCCCCTTCCTTCACCAGCCGACCGATCCACCAATCATTGTTGTATTTCTGAGTGACAGTGTAAAACACCCTTTATGCCTCAGAAGTTATGCTACAAAATGTGTTGACATGGATCAGAATAGGTCTATATTTGCAAGTGATGTATTTATGCTGAAGGCCTCTCACCTCTTTTATGTGCAGAAAGTCTTTGGTTTCAAAGTTAATAGCGGCACCTTGGACTGGGCAATCTTCATCAAGGGCCCCACAGTAACTCACATTGGTTTTTACTGCAAATGCTACTGGTTTCGACTGTTGAAACGCAGAGAGAGTACACAGTATATATCAGATATAAAGCAATATAGCATCACTGCCTTTATACTTTTAGTCTGACGATTTCATTTGGTTCAATAGACCTTCATTAATCTATAAGATGGGTAAATTGAAAAGCAACCTGAGTATTAAAATGACTCCCCTTAGTAACTGAAGGTGAATTTAAAGATAATCGACCTTTGACCCTCAGGTTCTCACCTTGGCTCTCTCTAGCTGCAGTTGAACCTGGCGCTCGGCTTCACGCCGAGACGCCTCCTGGTCCTCCCCCAGGGACAGGTCGGAATCCGAGGGTCGACTAGTGTAGGAATCGGCTGAACCCTGGAAGAAAGGAGGAGACCAGGTAAATCCATCACAATACCTTACCCAGCACCTAGTAGCAGTTGTTGCTACTTGTTCAGAATTTCTCAGGATATAGTTGCTGCTGACTTTAAGCAAATAGCTTTCATGCATCACCAAACAGATCACCTACATCTCCCTCCGTGTCTCCCATGTCTTTCTCCTCGTTTAACCTGTCTCTGAACCTGCCTGTCCTTTCCTGAAACCATGTGGTACAGCCTGCAAGGACCAATACGTTCCTGCAGCTTTCCAAAGCAGCTGTCTCCGGGGAACATGTGCGTGAGTACTGCAACAACACCAACTACCAGCACAGTACTTGTTGTCTATTTATCCACTCAGCCAGGCACACCAGATGTTGGCAAAAGCCCAGAGACTTCAACCAGGAAAAAAACCACTAAGACACAACTCTGACAGAGTACTGATAATACGGGATAATGCTATAAAATCCATTGTTCGATCCATTTTCTAGACTCCAGATGGGTCAGTATCAACAAAGGGATGTGGTGTAGTATCACTAGACAAATCAATTTGTATTATAATGTTTTGAGTTTGTTTGTATATCAGTGAATCAAAATGCTTTATATCATCCTGATGAAGACCTCGACATGCCCATGCTCAAAGAATACATTTATACCATAGTGCTTTCTCTTTTATATGCACCACTTGAAATTACACAAGATTTTCTGGATTTCTGTTTTTTGCTTGATATCATTTTGTGTTTATTTGAAATTTAACACATGTTCAAATCCAACATTACATTTGATAGTTGACATTTATAGTGTACCAGATGGTATAATTTATAATTAAATTAAATAAAGCTTGTGGTAACAACCTGGTATTTATGAAAACTAATCGATTGCAGACATAATCAAACTGCCAGGTACAAATTACAACAGTCAGTTGCACCGACAAATTCAGATTAAAAAAACATGTTATTCAAATTTATTTGTCTCACAGCACAGCTCTTACTCCTTAGAATGGATTTAAATGTCAATAACCAAATAACAAGAACATTACACATACAGAACCTGACACCCTCTTTAAACTTAAACCATATGTAAACTTCCAGACTGATAAAACTCTCACAAAGCCTCACTACATTTGTCCTCTGACTCCATCATCCTGCTCTTCCCCCAGTGGCTGCAGTCCCAGATGGGAGCAAGACTGGAAGACTCCTCTCATACCAGACAGGAGCACCCACATAAGAAAGCCAAATATAGCTCAATAACAACATCATCCTTCTCTTACCTTTTTTCCCCCGCTTTGTTTTTTCCCCTCCCTCTTCTCTTCCCTCCATCCCGCCTTTGCCTTTTCCACTTCCCTCCCTAGAAATGCTTTAGCTCAATCCAGCACAGAGTTTGTGGCTATCATTTGAATATCAAAGCCTGCCAGAGCCTGAATAGTCTACCAGCAAAAGAAACAAAACCTAATTAAAGAGTTCTGCAGATGACTGAAGAGGAATGATATTCTGAAGAACAGACCGAGTCTCTTTAGCACCAAATATCTATACATTGTCTTCACCTATAGCAGATTGCAATTTTATATTTGGTTAGATTGGATGAAGGACTACAAACACAAATTCCCTTTTTAAATAAAAAACTCATATAAGGGGAAAAACGTTCCCTTATAGTTAAAGCACAGGACTGCCGGTCTCTTTCTTGTTATCACTGTCCAGGTCCCAAAGTCCTTTGCTAAAGCGTCACAACATTTAATTAATCAGTGTTAATAATGATTTATCTTAATGCTGAATGGATTCCCAATGAGCTTTAATAATACAAAATACTCTGAAATACTGAGTGGTTTTTAAGCTTTTGAATGGTGCAGAACTGTGAATGGCAAATGAAGAGAATCAGATGTCAGGATAACATGCACACATTATATTCTCAAAGTAGCCTCCATGCTGACATCAGTGTAGGACAATAGACAAATATTGTACTGTATTGTGAGATGATTACAATAAAGTCAGTTCACATAATCACGTAAATATTTGGTTACCAGTGTATTGCACCCTGTTGCCCCACCACTGACATCACATTCCAGATGTTTAAAGACATTATTTAGAAGATTAACTGTCTTCAGGTTTCAATACAAAGAGTGACGAATAAGTTGCAGATCAGTGTTTCTTTTTTTACGCTGCAAAGGTGTAATGATGAAAGAAGAGAAATCGAGAAATAATCTCATGTAAAGAGATTCTGCTTATATTCTTTCATTCTCTCTTAGTGAATGTTCTTAGTGCCTTTCCACTGTGTGATAAGCCAGTTACAATGTAGATTTGACAAACGTCACCCATTGGTAACTCTGATACATCCCTCCGTGCTGTGCTTATTCAAAGCTATTCACAGTCAGAGAGACTTCAGACTCTTGCCTGTTTTGTATTTCTCTCTACGTGCATGAATGAAGAAGCTAAATGAACAAATGCACCTTGGTGTTTTCTTGACCAAATAAGGAAACTGGAAGATTTTAAAATCCTCTTCAATTGATAAGACAACAGAACATTTACTGACACTAATGTGGAAAAAAGATCCCCCTCATCAGCAACATCAAACATATTATAGGCATGTATATTGCAAGCTCTTAAAGCTATTACAGGATCAGTTCATTTGTTTTAAATCTTCCTTAAAACAATACTCACATGCCCATATGTTCATTGAAATGTGCTTCCAATGTAAATCATGTGGGACAAGATCCACAGTTCTCGTCCTGCACAAAAATATATTCCAAAGTTTATCTGAAGTTAATATGAAGATATAGTTGTCTGAATTAATCAAATCAAGTAGGTTCCTTCTACGGTACCTCTCATTCTGGTATAAATGTCATCTTTGTGTTTCAACAGACAGTCTTTCCTTGCTGAGCTGTGGTGGACAGATAGTAACACAAAGAGGGAATTTTGTACTAAAAAAGCTTTAACTTTGAAATATTCTCACTTGACTGTGGACCAATCACTTCCATTTGAAGTGCATTATATAGGAATCTTCTTAATTCTTGAAATTTCACAGTGGCTTCTGGTTGTTACACCCAATGAAACTGACTAAGCAAACAGACAAGTATGGGCTCAACTACAAGAGTTAAAGGTAGGAATGGCTTCATAAAAAGACAAACAAAATGACAGATTCAAAATCCATGACATTCAACAGATGGGCCTACAAGTTCAGTTGAGGTAGATAGACAAACTGCATGTATAGAGTACAGTATGTCCAAAGGGGATGAGGAGAAGGAGGGAGAGAGGAGAGAAGAAGTGGGGAGATGCTGGCAAAGTGAGTGAACCAGAATAGACTTCTGCTGAAACAAGAGTGAGAGGCGAGGGGAGAAGAGAAAAACAGAAAGAAGAAGATGTCTCAGAGCAGACAGACAGGGGACTTATGGACGAAGAGACTGAGTTTGCATGCAGAGTGATTAAACAAAATGGGGAGCATCAACAGCGTACCTTGTTACAGATGAGTCCTGTAGCGCTCGAGTCGGAGGCAGACATGATTGTGCTGCCAGCGCTCTCTTCTCCCCCATTGCACAGAAAAAGGCAGAACCCTCCTCCCCTCAGCCCGTGGTTACAGGGGGGAGAGAGAGGGTGGCGCGCTCAGCCTAAGTGCTTCACAGCTGACGTTGCTGCGCTGCCTCAACAGCCATTTCCTATTCAAAATTGATGCCCTGACTGCAGCACTGGTGTGTACACGCCCGCATACTGGTACAGTACAGTGGGTTTCTTCAGCTCCGAGCCAGCCCTCATGTAAGAAAAGGATCTTTCCTCTGGTTTCATGCACCGTCTCTCCTCTCCTCTCCTCTCCTCTCCTCTGAGTCGCCCCACCACGCAAACAGATCTCATGTATCCCTCTCCAGCATCACCATCATATCAAGTTTTTTTCCATGCATTCCTGTCATGTCAATTCCTGCTTTAAGAAATCCTGAGAAAGTAATATAAAATCAACCAGGCTGATGTTAACTCTCACACTGCAGAGTATAATTTTTCACTGAGCGCAGATAGAGCTTACAGTAAGACAGAACAAAGACTGAGCAGTTATGTAAGCCATGCTAAATGATAATAACAATAACCAGTCTGTAATTGTCATTCCACTGGCAATTAGTAGCTCCCTTTGCCTAACAGGTGACTGCTTCAACAGCAATAATGACTAAAAGAAAAACAAAGGGTGTAAAGTTAGCGAAGGACAGAGAGAGGGGAAACACATGAATGGAGAAATGAAAAGAGGGAGAGGAATAGAGGAGGGCAGGGCTATGCCCGCCTGCCTGTCTGCCCGCCTTGCACCATCCTCCTGACAGGAAGGTGATGCATGAGCCTACAGAACAGAAATGCAGCGGTGAGTCAGCAAGCAGCCATCTAGAGTCCATCAGATGTCTTAATAAGCCAGCAGAGAGGTCACTATTGCAGGAGACAGCCTTGTTGTTCCTGGCAAGCCCGGACTGCATGCCTGCTCTCGAGGTTGCCCCAGGCACTGAGGACCCTACTTTGCAACCATTATGCTGGCAGCATTCGCTCCCTCATCCTCATTCAACTTTGGCTGCTTAAGAATTAAGTGCACTCCACCAGGGCTTTTAGCAAAAAATGTCTCAGGGCTATATTTCTGCGTGGCTTTTCAAAATTAAAGGCAGGCAAGCTTTAAACACACACACGCACAAGCACACATATTTTATTGTAGTTAGAGCACCTAACCCCCTCAGAGAGACAGCGAGAGAGAAGATAGGGGGACTATTTTCATCATTAGTGTTCATCCATTGAGTAACAGCCTTTCGAACAGTGGGAGAGGAATGCAAAGATGGGGAAGAAATAAGAAGAGAGTTAGAAACAGAAAGAGGGCAGCAAAGAGGAAAACATACCTCAAGAGCAAATTAGATTGATGGAATTTAAATTGCTGTGTGATTTGTATAAATATTTATCGTGTCATTTGTCTGCTTTGCCAGCGTTAACTGTTAAAGCTCTTTAAATTGAATTGAAGAGAAGGAGACAGAATGTTGAAGACAAGCGGGAAAAGGTGGAAGACTGTGGAGAAAACGGGGATAAAAAAGAAAAAGGGGGGAGGGGTGAAGACACTCAGTGCATTAGAACAATATGACCAGAGATTAACAGCAGAATCTTTTTTCTTTTATGTTATTTTTGCTTTTCAGTCAGTCTAAATATAGCTCTCCTCTCTTCTCCACTGCTCTCCTCTCCTTCCACTCCTCCCATCACAGACTGGGGTTGGCAGTGGGGAGAGGATAGCGGAGGATTGTCAAAGTTCACTGAGTTTTGATGAATTCCCTCAAGAAAGAGCAAAGCAGATTTGAGACTGTCTCAGCTATATTCACTGATGCCAGATAGCCCATCTGAATGTGAACTAAGTGCCTATATGGACAATGAGAACAGACAGCCACTGACGATTGTCCCTGTTCAGTCTACAGAATCAGTCGCTGCAGCAATTTTTTCTCCTTCAGAGTGATATTAGATCTAGTTTCATTCAACCCTCCTGATAATGTGATGCAGGTGTACTTAATAATAATTCTTTTTTTAGCACTTTCGAGGTAAAAAGAGGAACGTGTTTACACAAAGACAATTCTCTGACCATTTGATGTGGATGTGGATAATAAGATAAGTCATTTTTCAACCATTGTTGGATCTGTGAGACATTATTAATTATTAAGGCATGACTTTTTGTAACAAGTGCTGACACAATACCTGATTTTTGGTACATATAGGTAAAATGTGTAAGTAAATAACTTATTAAAGATTAATTAAACAAGAATATAAATTTGACATTCAATGCCAACCTCTAACACCTCAGTTTTTGATACTCTTTCTGCTACTGACACATTTCAGCTGGTACCAGAAAATATTAAGGTTTGATCCTGATGCCCTTTACTTATTTTTTTGCTGAGCACCGTAGAGAAACCACTAAACAACTGAGAAGCTCTGCACCAACTGGGAGCTCAGTGGCTTGCAAAAGGGCACTTCAGAGAAGACAGAGTTCCAGATTTCCCCAACAAATCTGGAGATTTCAGCACAGAAGCTTTGCAGTCACATGCACGTCTCCAACCTTTTGACTTGTGTGAGAGAGGCACCTTACAATCTGTGTGCAGTGGGAGCTGAGGCAGCATTACAGCCAGAGGTGGATCATCCAGAGCAAGAGAGAAGGTCTCCTGACAGTGCAACCAGAGTAGGGCAGAGTGGATCAATAGAAGAGCTACCCAGATTGATACTCCATCCTGTCCCAAGCTGCTCCACCCTCCTCCCACTCTAATGTTACCTCAGGATACTTTCTCCCTGCCTGTAATGAGCCCTTGGCAGCCTATAAATAAGCACTTCCAAGTCATTTCAACACACACTACAGAACTGCTTTCTCACCAAAGACAACAGCAGTCTGTATGGCGGTTTAAGAACAAGGGACATCTTGTATAAGCCAACTTGCAAAGATAAATGCTACAGATACAATGAGGACAATGTAATGACATAAATCATCATCTTTGAATGGGTCGACAGTGAAGCTGGCTGGCATACAGTGGAGGAAGAGGAGCAGGACGCAGCAAGCCTGGCCAGGAATCTCTATCTTTCATCCACCCTGTCGACTTGGCCTTGCCGGCTACGCTGTGCATACTTAGACTTTCATCCCCCCAGGGATCCCTCAACCTGACTTCACCAAACTGCTTCAAAGTACAGAGAGGCTGGAGCTAACCCACATAAAGCTGTGTACCTACAGTGCAGCACAGAATGGCACAGTGCTGCTGCATCCTTCATTAAATCAGATGTGTTTGTTAGAAGCTGACCTGATTTAGACTCTAGGTTTGAGTTGGGCCTAATTGGTGCATCTTGACTAGTGGGCTGAGCTAACTGAGGGAATGTCAGACTTATCAATATGTAATGGCGCCCTACATATTCACACATTCCAGCTTTACGTCTAAGAACAGTGTGTTTTCTTTCAAGTTGGAGTCCTACACATTTAAAGTGACCACATAGGGTTGGGTTGGTCATTCGTGCAAATAGATTGCAAATAAAAGCCAGATTAATCAACTGGAGATGCTTAAAATAGTAGAATAGAAAGATGTCCCAGATAAGACTGGCCAAACAGACAGATGCCAGAGACATTCTGACTTTGTTGTCGTCTTTAATGAGTAAAAAATAATAAAAAGGGCAAGGTTTCTAAACAGGAACGCAAAGAGAAGCTGATCTGGAATCTTTGGCCCCTTTCAACATTGCTGGTTCTTCAAATTTAATCAAGGCATTGCACACTGATGCATGCACACACACACATATGCATGCACGCACACACACACAAACACACAAAGCACTTCGCTCCTCACGGGACAGGCTTTTAGTGCTCTGTCTCATGCAGTATTTAATTGACCCCACACAGGAAGCCTAGCGGTCCCAAATGCACTCCTTCCCCCCACCAACAGAGAAAGCATGAACGCCTGCAAGTATGCCCACAGCTTCCCATCACTGCTCCTCTGTCACACAGCTGCACTAAATGCCATTTTCTGCTTTAGTGCAACTCAGACTTTCTAGAGAAATGTCAGCGCTGAGGGTGAGGAGTTTGGACATACATCAAATTTGGTCAAAATGCTCAAATGCCCCACTTTGACTGCCGCATACATTAACTCCATTTCTCAAACTTTCACTCAAAATTCCATGAGCAGAGTTGAACGGTCTTCCTGCTTCTTCAAAGTAAATATATCTTTTATCACCATCTAATCAGATATTATTCAAAAAAGCATGTGGAGATCTACTGTCAGGTTTACAGTGGCTATCAGTGCAATTTGCGGCAGAGATTAGATGCAGAAGAGATAGCAGCATACTTACTCAGTTGGAGGTAGGAGAGCACACTCCCCGTCTCTCTCGCTCGCTCTCTGCTAGTCAGTCATGGTGTGCTCTCTCTCTTGGGTAACACTGAAGTGTACTGTAGCGTGCTTGTAAGCAGACTATCCCTCTCTCTTTCTCAACACTCCCCCCTCCTCTCTTATTCTCCACCACTCTCAGTACACAACCCCTTTGCTACGTCAGTGAGGCTCTCTCTGCTCTGCATATCATCGTTCCCCACCCTCTCTCCTGCTCTCCTCTCCTCCCTTCATCTCCACCTCGGCTGTCCAATGGGAATCTGTATCGCAGCCGCATGTATAGTTCATTCAGGTCTCTATCGTGATAGGACGTCACTGTGGCGAGCAAGTTGTGTAGTTATGTTGGATAGAATTGTATCTTGCAGCAGCAATCGGGCTCATAAAATCTCTTCTCACCGCTATCGCAACGTAAAATCACCCCACACCTTCAGAGGTAAGAAATGTAATAAAGCATATCCTCATTTTAGTCACCTCTTGGGATTCCCACATACGCCAAATGGACAGAAGTATGTGGATGCCTGAACATTAAACCCATAAATATAATAATTATCATAAATCCAAAATCAGGTGCATTTATATGCTTCCTCCACTCTTCTGGGAGGGCTTTCCACAAGATTCTGGACCCTGGCTGTGAAATTTGAGCATGAGCATTAGTGAGGTCATGCACTGATGGTAAATGATGGTTCAGGCTCACAATTTCTGTTCCAGTTCACCCCAAAAGTGTTTGATGGTGTTGAGGTCAGGTTTGTGTGCAGGCCAGTCAAACTATTCCACACCGAAGTCAGGAAACTATTTCTTTATGCGCATATAGCTTTGGGCACAGAATCAATGTCATGTTGAAACTATTGCCACAAAGTTGGAAACACTCTTGTCAACACTGTTGCCTACAATATGATTGTATGTTGTATCATTAAGATCTCCCTTTATTAGAGCTAACATGTAAAAGCCCAGACCAGGAAAAATGCCCCCAATCAAAAATACACACAAATGGACAGGGGTATACAAACACAAAGCCAAAATCTCAAAGGGGAATATCAACCATTTCTACAGTCCTATCACATTGTTATTTCAGCCACTGTGGATTTCAACACATCAAAATCTAAAAGTTTAGAGACAGGAGAAAGTCTTGTGGTGGTGAGGAGCTATGGGAGCCATGTAAGTTGTCTCTATTCGACATGTGGAGGCGTCCCCAGCGTAGCCCTGTGTTCACTCAGTGTGTTCTGTAGATGTTATGGTTGGCTGTACTCTGACACCTGCTCAGCTGCTGAGTGTATGTGCTATGGTTATGTACAGATGTGGACGTGGGAAGTTTTTGTTTTAAAACCAACCAACGAAACATCACCAGAGATAAAGGATGTATCTGCTTTATATGTTAATTTGTGTGCAGAACTTGTGATACAGTGTGAGATCAACAACAGGCATCTAAAGACAGACCAGTCTGACAACATAAAACCATGACTATGGGTGATGTGAAAAT